TAAGCCTGAGTTTAGTTTTATAGAGTTCATGTGATAATCATTAAACCCATTAAATAAATAGGTTGATACGAACTTAATTAAATACGATATAAATCAGATCGTACACGACTTTTATTAGGCACGAATTTGACATGACATGAATTATGAATGATTGGATATGAGTTAAACATATTTTGATATGACATGAATTTAATACAACACAATCTATTGTCAGTCCTAAAGGTGAGTGATTCAAATCGCAGAAATTGAGAATTTTTTAAATTAAGAGAAATTGGATCCAAGTAACTTAAATTGAGCCCACGTTTTCTAGTTGGGCCACGGTGGGTGTGGGTTGAAATAACACATTGACTAAACTGAACCCCAAAAGACACTAAAACCATCATAAGCAAAATATATAGACACGAGAAGTGTGACTTGGAAATGCTTTAGGAAATGCTCTCATCGTAGGCTTCTCAGTTCTTTTGAAGAACAAGAATTCCTGAAGGTTCGAAAACCTAGCCAGTGAAAATCTCTGAAGAATCAGTCTAATTTCGATGACCGGAGGTAGATTTACCATCAAATTCAGAGATTTATTGTCATTGTACTTTATATATGAAGCGATAATAGTTCGACATTATTCAGAGATTTATTGTCATTGTACTCAATCGTACAAGCTTCCATTGCTAGTGAATATATGTAGACATTGTGCTTTGACTCATGTGGCCCTTCTCTATATGTGAAATTAAACAAGTATGTTTATATACCACAAGAAATGGTCAAGAATTCCAATGATACAACCTTTTAAATCGTAGATAATGTTCAAACCTTGTTCTAAGAAATTGAGATGTAAAATTTGCCAATAATCTGGTCAAATAGTTTCTCATCCATGTAACAAGCAACTAACAAAAATAGATGAGACATTAAGTATATTCACGAGTAGATCAAACTCTGCATTTGTTCCGTCAAAATGAAATTGAATTATTTGGTATGTGGGCACCCTAATGCCTAGCTAAAGAATCAAGATCAGAACTTAGTATTTAGTTGCCAAAAGCAGATAACATAAAAGGGCAAACTATGCCTCTATAGGTCACAATAGAGCACAATTGTTTACATTCGAATGGTTATTTCAAATGAATCCCACTATATACTGTCAGAATAACTCAGACGATTGAGATTCAGTAGTTAATAGTTTGAATATCACCAAAAACATCTAGTTGACCAGGGATACTTGGTTTGCGGATGATTGTGCACATCTAAAATGTACGTAGCAGTTACAAACTCACTTCCACACCACCATAGTTCTTTGTCATTTAGAAAAGACTATTTTTTTCTCCTGATATAAATTTTTTTGTCAGTTAGTTCCAGTATAGTTTATTAAAGTAAAGAGCCCAAATTACATATTATCAATTTCAAATTTTAGGCTAGAGTCCATCTAGTATAGTATTCTTCTTTGTCCATTTTTTAAAATTATTTTTTGGCCTTTCTTTTTGGTTTGCAATTCGTTTCCGATTATATTGTAATGGTATGGAACTTGTAATTTTGACCAACCCTTACTTACAAAAGAATCCAACAAATTGTGAGTATTGATATGTTGAATCATAACAAAGAACAAACAAGCATATACACATACACATACACATAATAAAATAGAAATGAGAATTCTGGAGAATGCTTGAAATTTTTCGAAAACAAAAATGTCTTCAATACTTGAATATACACTTTTTTACATTATGAAATTACTTTGATTACCGTACAATCCTAATTTGAGAAAACTTTTGTTTGCAAAACTAAAGCATAGATTATTGGAGCAATAAAATAGAACTAATTAAAATCCATAATTCTATAAATTTTAAAATCCCAACCCTATTTTTTCTTCAAAAGAAACAAAATTTAGATACAGGAGTGAGATGAATAGTCCACTAAACAAAATCAATCACATTATAACAAAAATGAGAGCTACCAAAATAAGAGCGATATATAGAAACATAAAATTAAATCTACAATTTAAAATAATTGAAGAAGCAAGAGTAAAGGATTGAATCACATAATACATTTACTTGAATCAATCACTTTGAAAACAAGGGGCAGCCATGGGTTGGACCGGGATAGATTGGGTTTGGCCTCTAGATGATAATTGCAACATGTTCGGATGGACCAGATGCATCCAATGGCCCAAAAAAGCCTCTAGCGACCCTCCATTTTTCATATGTCTTTACGAAAGTCTTTCGCCTTTCATGATCCGGTTCATCATCAACTCAATAAGATCTTCTTGTTTACCCGTTTTGATTAGGCTTCCTTTAACGAATTTGATCGGCATTTCGTGTTTGTGGCCCTGCAGAATTCGACCTTTTATTCATTGGTTGGGTAGCGTATCAAGATTAGAGACATGTAACTAGAAGAGTTGGCCTCAAGAATTAGTTTTCTTTTTGTAAAAGCTAAAACTAAAATTATTTATTTTAGTTTTTTTACCCCATATTATAGGGTGGATTTCGAAAGATAAGAAAGATCTTCCTCCAAGCTGAAAATACAACTTTCATCGAATACGGCTTTCCGCAGAATTCTATATGTATTTATGAGATCAAGTACGAAATTGAATTTTGTTTACTCACTTTAAATTGAGTATTCGTTTCCTTCCCTTTTCTGCTAGGATTGAAAATCCTGTATTTTACATATCCGAGTTTTCAAAATAGTGTAAAAAGAAGTGCTTCGAATCATTGCTATTTGACTCGATCCTAATCTTTTTTAAAAAGTACATACAATACTTTTGTGTTACGAGCCAAAGTTCTAATACAAGAAAATAGAAACATATATTTTATTCGATACAAACTCTTTTTTTTTTTTTAAGGATTCACTATGATAAAAAAAAAAAAGATTTATGTATATACGCCCAAATTGATTAATAATATCAGAATCTAATAAATCGTCCCGAACCAGCTTACTAATGAAATGCCCTAATCCATTACAAAATTTCGCTTTTGCCAACGATCCAATCAGAAGAATAATTGGAACACTAATATCGAACTTTTTAATAGCATTATCGATTAGAAATGCATTTTCTAGCATTTGATTATGTACCATTAAAGGATTCAGTTGCACATTTAAAAAATAGTCCATAAAGTCAATATAATAATTGAAAAGTTAGTTTATATGGATTCTTCTAGGTATGCAAGCTCATCAATAATATTTATTTTTAAAAAAAGTAAAAATACTTGAAAATAACATAAACATAGACAACATAGTTTTTTTTCTTGACAAATAAGTTTTATTCCTACTCAGTACCGGAGTTGGACAGAAAATATAGTTGTACACTTTAATTCACTTTTTGAATGCAAATTATGGGGATAGTTTTAAAAATAAAGGTTTGTTTAGTGTTCTAACGAGGGAATGAGACACTTATTCTCGAGCTTTGTCAACTAATATGATTTACATGTGTGCAAGTATCTAATATAAGTGATATAGTTAGGAGTCTAAAGGTTACGTGGTGGAAATTGATGATTATTCTTTACTGAATATAAGAGATAAACTGTAACTAAGTCTAGCTAAATGGTGCAAAGTGAAATTTTAAAATAAATTATATACAAAAAGTAATCTATATATAATAAAACACGATTCATTTTGAATCCCTTAACTTAGCTTATCACAAGATTGACCCAAATTCACTCGATCTAATAATTCAAACTTATCACCAAAAAATTTTACCCCCAAATCAGTCCATGCTTTATTCATGCTAATCAAGACCAGATTTCTCTCAAAATTAAAAATTCCACCTACCACATAACTTTTCATTGTAACCAAGACAAACAAAGTCTTCTCTCTCCCAAATTTTTTTCAATTGTGTGAAAAGATTGATTTTGAAGTGTGTAATTATAGAAAATGAAGAAAAAATAAATTATTATTTCAAATATTTATATTACACAACTGATGTCTGAATTGTTTGTATTATTCGGTGTCGTTGGACACGAGTTATTGCTAATATAATTATATATAAATTGGGTTAATCCATGGGCTAAATGTTATAGTCTAAGCTCACCCCAAAATTTAATTGGGCTAAATTATCTAGTCCAAGTTCTACCAACGGGCCAAATGTTTTAGTCCAAACCTTGAATTTCTCCCAAAATATGAACACGACGATACATAGTGATAATTAATTATTAAATTATGTAATACCCGTCACACATAATTTTTATATGTTATATAATTGCTCACTATTTTCTCAGTAGGCCTGACAAATTGTTTTATTTTTGGGTTCTTTCATAAAAGGGTATAGGCCTGATAATTTCACACACAACGTACAATTTCAATACAATATTGATACAGATTTAGGTAGTTTGTTTTTAAATTTTATGAATTTAAGGAATAAAAGGGAGAATACGTTAAACTCTTCAAATAACGGGGTCAATGCACAACACAAACTCGCTAAAAATAATTTATATGTGGCAAAACGCGCTATATATAATTTACACATTGCATGAATTCATCAAAACACAAATTATAAATGAACTCAGTTTCCACCGACTAAATTTTGATTTAAAATGATCCCTTGTCTGCCTTAGTCGGTAGGGCCAACACATTGTTTTATTTTTGGGTTCTTTCATCAATAGTTTATAAGCCTCACAATTTTACACATGACCCACAAATTTAACACAAAATTAATATAGATTTAGATAATTTGAGTTTAAAATTCTTGAATTTGACTAGTAAATGAGTGAACTGCTCAGACTTTTCAAATAAATAGGTTGACATACAATTCAAATTTACTAAATATAATTTACACATAGCACGAACTTGTTTAACATAATTTATAGTATACGTTGCACGAACTTCGCACAATACAACTTTTAAATAAGTTAAATATAAATTAAATAAATTTTGATACGATACGAATGGAACAGCACACAATCTCTTGTCAGTGTTAGGTGTGAGTGACAAATTGGGGAAATTGTAGAATTTTAAAATTAAGAGGATTTAGATCCAATTGACTTAAAATTGAACCTAAGTATTCCCGGCGGGTTTGGGTTGAAATGGCGGATGGAAAATATATAGACATGCGAGAAGTGTACGTTGGAAATTCTTCGCTTTCTCGTCGTCGGCTTCTCTTCTGCGAGAAGAGAAGCCCTCCGAAGCACAAGCATTGCCGAAGAATTGGAAACCTAGCCGTGGCCGAAGCTGCAAAGAATCGTTCCAATTTCGATGATCGGAGGTAGGGGTACTGTGAGATTCCGAGATTATCTGTCATTCTGTTCTATACATGACCGGTGACGGATCAACATTTGTGATAGGGACGAGGAGACGCTTTGTAGAACCAGGTTTTCCTCCACTCTCTCTTCATGGATACATATATATAGAAGCACACACAAATTGATATATGTGCATGCATGGATGATTCTGTACATGTAAATGCACATGCATGATCGTGCAAATTATCTCAGATATGACCCATTTCGGGTGCTATTTCTAGTCTGATTGGATTTTTTGTTGGTATCCGTATAAAATTTCTTACGTTGTTCTTTGCTGGTGTGTTTTTTGATCAGACTGGTGGTTGGTTTCTTTATCTCCGATCTCATCAAAAGTTTCCTCGCTGAGGTAAATTTTTTGCGAAATCGGTATTATTTTTTATGTACAAGTTTCTTTTTGTGTTTTTGACCATAGAAGTTCTGTTTTTGATAAGATGGTGGCTGATTTCTTGATCATTGCACTCTTATCATCTGATATAAACTGTGCGTGTGTTCTGCGAGTCTATGTTGGAGTATGTTTTCGATAAGATGGAGGCTGATTTCTTGATCTCTGGACTCTTGATATATCTGTGCATGTTTTGTGCATGCTTTGTGCAACTATGTGTACGTTTTTGGTTTGTATGTGTGTGTGTGTGTGTGTTTTTGGGGTTACTTATGATGCATGTTTCCTGCCGCTGTAAGAGGATTATTGAGTTTAATTCCCTGCGTCTGTGCATTTCAATTTTCTTGGTTTGAATGTTAATAATGGTTATTCGAAGCAGCATATGGAAAAATGGTATTTATTCATACTAGTGTTAGTCAGCAGTGGATCTTAATGAAAGTACGCTTTTGACCTAATTGGCAGTGCGACAATTAATCTCGCCAATGTTTACTTGCCAATATCCTTTATCATTAATAGCATTTTAAGTAAATCTTGAGGCTTGATCAAAATGTAGACTCTCTTATCATGTCAATGTGTAAGTTGCACCCTGAATTAAGTTTGTTAGCATTTACCATATTGCAAAAGTAAAACGGCTGTCTTGTGTTCCCCCTAGGTTGAACTCATTTAATTGTACTTATTTCTAATCACAGTCTCGCAGCAATGCTGTCTCATGCTTGAGCTTAGCCCAACTTGACCTTGGCATGATCTTGGATGCATTTGCTATATGTTAATGTACTAGCTTAGTTATCATCCATATTTGCTCTACAATAACATTGCTACCTTCCCAGACTGCGACTTAACAAATCAGAATAGTTCTACACAATACCTGTTCAGCTTGCTAGTATGTCGTTCCCGTAAGTGCCTTCAAAGATTATGTGTTTAACGTTGCATGGGTGCTTGTTGAGCACTTAGACTGCGCTAGATTTTGATATTTCTTGTTTAGACCAATTGGATAAGCTTGAAGAAACTAGTTTCACGCCCAACTCAAGCTATTGATAAGAAGCATTTTTAATCCTAAGGCCTAATTGATTTGAATGTCACACGCCATCCCGGGAAGGGTCAACCCCTCCTCCTCCAGAATAGGGTGTGTTTAAACTAACCTGATGTCCATTCATCAAAGTTTAAAACCGAAGTAATATAACCTGTGCAAGGATAATTATATTCTTTTACCCAAACAAAAAAAGTGATATTAACATATAAACATATCAAAGTGTAACACACGTCGCTAGGGTATCACACCCTCAAAACATCCTAACAACTATGTACAATATTTATATGACTCAATAATATAACGGGCAACTGACACCAAGTCCTTCTATGTCAAATGAGACTGCACGGTGGATCGTATTCTATCCCAAACACCTGAAATCAAACATTTGTTGACGGAGCCTTACAAAATTTTTGCTCTTTGCAACAATCTTGCTCACTAGTCAAGGGGGTTTGGAACCTGAATTCTGAGAAAGCTCAAGAAGAGAGGAATTGTGGGAGGGAAGAAGGATATGATTGCTTTGATCCAGAGAGTACAGTTCAAAGAGAGAGCTTGATTCGGCAGCAAGTCATTCATCAAAAAAGGAGGAACTGTGGGAGGGAAGAAGGATATGATTGCTTTGATCCAGAGAGTACAGTTCAAAGAGAGAGCTTGATTCGGCAGCAAGTCATTCATCAAAAAAGGACCCTACTAGGTAGGTATGCTTTCCATTAGAGAAGGTGAGTGCAAATTTGCCTCCAAAAGAAGAGGGTTCTGGACTCGTATTGGCAGAGGGAAGTCATCTATGGGGTCTAAGTCTAACGACACTCTAATCAGCCACGTACGTTCGTGTGTGTGTCATGCTTAACACAACCGCATTGAACTGTCGGTCAATCTCGATAATAATCAGGAGCTTAAGCTTAAGTATTGGCCCTCCTCTACCTGAGCTAATATTCTTTGCTTCAACCGGCCGTTCCCAATCATTAATCCTCATTCCCAACATGCTATATCCCGGGAACCCACTCCTCGATCTAGCATGCAGCTTGCTGGTGGCATCTAACATGTTGTCGGCAGACTATCTGGTCAATCTCCTGGGCTCGTCCCCTCTCCCCCTAGGGCGGGCTACCCTATAGGCATATAGTTTTACGTAGCTTCCTATATACCTGTTTGGATATGCTATTGATTCCATTATTGAACCAAACAAGATTATTCTCTTGGCATAAATGTTGTTGGAGAAGGGAAGAGGGAGAATCTTAATGATGGCAGATGATTATGCAATTGAATATAGGCTATAGTAAATCCTTATTTTGAAAGCATTGGAATAGTAGCATTGGGTATACAATTTTTTTTTTGCTTTTTGAATAAATAATGAATTAGCCAAAAATGAATTTCTTAGAGTCAATTTAGTGGTAATGTATTACTCAGTCAACTGACATGTCAAAATGTTAATTAAATGTCATTTGGGAACTTGTAATGATTCTCATGGTGCTATAGTTTTGTGGAGAATGAATGAAAATTCATGGTGGAGGCATCAATAATTGTCTTTCATGATAGAGATGCTGAGGGAAAAAGCTAAAGTGGGTGAATTATTGTAATGTTCATAGTGCATTAAGATGGTGATTGTACTTACCCAAAAAAAAAAGAGATGGTGATTGCGGTGGTGGAGGTGATATTACAGTAAGAAGTTCTTTTTTTGGTGGTGGAGATGGCTGTGATAGTAAAAGTGTTGTTGTTGGTGGCAATTCTGGTCTTCCAAAAGAACAATGTGCCCTAAAAGATTAAAAAAGTTAGTTCGTGAAGAAACCACTAATGGCCAATCTGATTTCGATGAGTGTGGTGCTCTTTATTTAAACCCCTCTGAGATCAAACTTCCTACTACAAAAGAGAAAAAAGGTTTTCTTCCTCTCTTCGTGGATATATGAGTAGATGCACACACACATTGATATATCTACATGCATGAATGATTTTATGCACATATGTTTGCATGCATAATGGTGCAATTGATCTGAGATTTGGTCTATTTCAGGTGCCATTTTGAGTCTGATAGGATTTTTTTCAATCTCTGTATATCATTTCTTGCGTTAAATGTTTTTGTTGGGTTGTTCGATCAGATTGATGGTTGGTTCCATGATCCCTGATCTCATCAGAAGTTTCCTTATTATGTAAAAATTTGCAAAGTTGGTGTTATTTTTTATGCACAAGTTTCTTTTTTACCATATAAGTTTTGTTTTTGACAAAAGTGATAGCTCATTTCTTGATCTGTGTACTCTCATCATTATCATCCGACACATATTTGTTCATGTTTTGTGCTAAGTATGTGCAAGGGTATTTTTTTGATAAATGGTGGTTGATTTCTTGATATTTGCACCCTTATATGTATGTGCATGTTTTGTGTGAGAGTGCGAGAGTATCTTTTTGGTCGGTGTATATGTATTATTCTTGGGGTTACTTAAGATGCATCTTTCCTACTCCCACCACCATCAGAGGATTGGGTTTAATTTCCAGTGTGAGTGTGTTGCAGCTTCAATTTTCTTAGTTTGAATGTTAATCCTGGTTTTTTGAAACAGTGTATGGAAAAAAAGATTTGAAAAAGGTTTTTGTCATACTTCATACTATGATTGCCTAGTTGTGGATCTTAGTGAAGAATGCTTTTGAATTAATTGGCATTGCGACAACTAATCTCGGCAATTTCCTTTCTCATTAATAACATTTTTGGTAAATCTTTAGGCTTGATCAAAATATAGACTTTTTTTATCTTGTCAATGGGTACATGTCATCCTGAATTTAATTTTTTTAGTATTTACCACATTGGGACAATAAAACTGTCATCTGGAGTATCCCCTCTAGGTTGAAACCATTTGCTTGTATTTGCTTCTTGTTGCAGGCTTGCAGCAATGTTCTCTCATGCTTGAGGTTTGGCTCAGCTTGACCTTGGCATGATCGTGGATGCATTTGTTATGTATTTATTTACTGGCCGAGTTACCATCCATATTTACTCTACAACTAACATTGCTACCTTCACAAACTGAGACTTAACAAATCAGAATATTTCAACAAATCTCTTTTCCTCTTACTGGTATATCTTTCCCATAAGTGCCTTCAAAGAATTTGCATATATAAGTTGGGTGATGGCTGCCTAACTGGACCCAAGCATATGCTTAAGCTGTACGCAACACATGCATGACTGGTTGAGCACTTGGACTGCCACCATATATTTATCTTGCTTGTTTAGACTGTGTGGACAAGCTTGAAGAGACTAGTTTCCACTCCCAGCACAAGCTATTGATGAGAAGCATATATAATACTTAGGCCTAATTGATCTGAAGGTTTCAGGTTACTTTTACTTGCCTCATTAAAATTCAAACTAGGGTTCAAACCCCACTTGTTTTTAGGTGAACAAAATTAATGATTCATCTAAAGTAAGTGTGAGTTGCTCTATTGATCCACCCTTCATGCTATGTCTTCTACTTGCAATATTGGATTAATCAAATGCTAGATTAGCTACATGCATATTTTATTTTACAATGGACAAAACAAAAAAATAAATAGGTTAATTTCCAAACCAATAAGTAAAACAGCATCCGTGTTTAAGGAAGATCTAGTACAACTGGTAAAGTGATTGCAAAAGTGGCATACATGAAACCTTATTTAGTTGAATGCACTAACCCTAAAGTACACATCATTATAAGGAAAAGTGAGATTAGACTTGAGTTTACACATCCCGTGCTGGTTAAAATGAGAAGCAGCTTTTATTTTTTCAGGCTCATCAGTAGGGATTGCAGCGGTTTTAGAAGTGCTTGGTAAGCCAACTGCCAGAAAGATACATTTATGATCCTCGCCCCGTCAAAGTCTCCATGTTCTTGTGCGTGACTTGTTGAAAACTTCAGATAATTCTAGGGTTTCCAGGTTTTAAGAAGAGTCAAAATGTAGAAATGTTTAGAGATTGCATAGTTTAGAAGAAGATAACTTCTTGGGATTGAATTACCCAATTAGTCACTGCATCTTATCGTGGACTCTGGTCCATGATTTTGAAACAAACCTCCTAATGCACCCGATCATTCACTTTATTGCCCTTGCCCTAATGAATAAACCTCGCGTTTGTAAGCGTGAACATATGTAATGGTTTATTTATTTACTAATGGTTCATGGTGTCTGGGTTTCCTAGCTGTTGACATTAAATGTAGCTGCCTTGTAGATTGGGTTTTGCATCAGCAGCAATGCTTCTAGTGGCTCTAAAGTTGACCTAACTTAAATTTCAATATGAATTCGTTCTGCAATTTTATTTCTTATTTTGTTATTCCACGACTACTTTTATGATTTGCCAAAACAAGGTATATACGCAAACATGTTTTTCCCTAATGACATTTTCATTTTATGACTCCCTCACATTCACACAGTACACTACATTGATTGATTTCCACCCAACCATATTCAATCTTTTTTATGGTCAATACATTGATTTGTTTTCATATGGTATAGACCTGCCAGTTATGTTATTCAGTTTTGGTAAGTTGCCAAACATCCGAGATAATGTTCGTTTATTTAAGTAATCATTTTGAAAATAATGAGCTGTAGATGGAAGAAGCATCTATAGTGGGGAAAAACAATAAAATAACTGTTCAGAACCACGTAAGATCATTTCTCATGCACAGCTAATTAGCAGGGGAAAAAAGTAAGGACAGGTAGGTTTTTTCTTTTTTATTTCTTTTGATAGCTTTTGAACTTGTCTAGCACTTCAACAACTGCTCAGTTGTTATCAAAATG